GATTAAAGTGGAAATAAAGAAGAAATAACATACTCATTTTTCATGTTCATATTAATTTAAAAACTATACAATCATTTCATACAGCAACTACACACTTAACAATTATTCACAACTACAAAACAGGCATCTATCTGCATAATGTACAAATTTTACATTATCTATTAATATATATTGTTCTACTGTACTTCCACTTGCCATCATGGGCAACATGATCAAACATAGAATCAATATAAACAATACAGCACAAAACGTTATCCCGTACTAGGGGTGCTGTTAGTTGCTTACGTGTATTTCTCTATATTCAATCAGAAAGAGACATGATTAAAGTGGAAATAAAGAAGAAATAACATACTCATTTTTCATGTTTACTGGAATACAGACATTAATTTAAAAACTATATATATACAATCATTTCATACAACAACTACACACTTGACAATTATTCACAACAACACATCAGGCATATATCTGCATAATGTACAAATTTTACATTATCTATTAATATATATTGTTCTACTGTACTTCCACTTGCCATCATGGGCAACATGATCAAACATAGAATCAATATATAAACAATACAGCACAAAACGTTATCCCGTACCAGGGGTGCTGTTAGTTGCTTACGTGTATTTCTCTATATTCAATCAGAAAGAGACATGATTAAAGTGGAAATAAAGAAGAAATAACATACTCATTTTCCATGTTTACTGGAATACAGACATTAATTTAAAAACTATATATATACAATCATTTCATACAACAACTACACACTTGACAATTATTCACAACTACAAAACAGGCATATATCTGCATAATGTACAAGTTTTACATTATCTATTAATATATATTGTTCTACTGTACTTCCACTTGCCATCATGGGCAACATGATCAAACATAGAATCGATATATAAACAATACAGCACAAAACGTTATCCCGTACCAGGGGTGCTGTTAGTTGCTTACGTGTATTTCTCTATATTCAATCAAAAAGAGACATGACTAAAGTGGAAATAAAGAAGAAAATACAAACTCAATTTCCATGTTCATATTAATTTAAAAACTATACAATCATTTCATACAACAACTACACACTTGACAATTATTCACAACTATACATATAATAAGAAATCAAACTTGTTCATTATGTTTTTTAACTGGATAAAGAAGTTTATCTGCCTCAGTAATGGTTATTCCTCTCAAATGTGATACAATTAAAATCTGGGCTTCTACAAAAACGACATCCATAAAGTAATTATATCCTTCATTTAAATTCTGTGACATTCTGTAAAAGATTAAACAAAAATAAACTTTAATATTACATGTAAAGTGTTTAATATTTTTCAATTTATTCTTTTTATAAAAAAAAGTTACTATTCTATAATCCTGATATTATATACAGCTGTTAGAGTCTATAGTCTCAATATTTCATCAAATTTCACTGTCTGCTTTGTCCAACAGGGTACATTGTTGACATGTTAATACTTATTTGAAGATTGAAGTAAAATATTGTGTTTTTTTTATTTAAATAAACATAGTACCAAGGGAAGTGTAAAGCAAAATTCTATCCAGATGAAATATCATCTGGAGGAAAAAATGTTACAGTAGTTGTTGTTATTTTTTTATCCGGAGGAAAATATTTCACTGTGATATATTATCCATTGCCGTGAAATTCTATCTGGGAAGTTAAAATATTGAATAGTTAATAAAAAATCTTAATCTTTGCAAATACTATGTACTAATAATAGTGTATTTGAATATAAGCTAAATTAGTAAATAAATAAAATGCTCTGCTGGGCGCAGCTTGATACGACCGCAGAGGTCGAACCCTGAACAGTTGGGGCAAGTATGGACACAACATTCAAGCTTGATACAGCTCTGAATTTGGATTGTGATTAAATATTTGACACAGCATAGGTTTCTGACACAGAATGAATGTGGTCTAAGAACTTAAAATTTTTTAATTTACCTATTATGGTCCAATATCCAAAATCTAAATACATGTTTAGATTCAGCATATCAAAGAATCAAAAGAATTCAATTTTTGATGAAATCAAACAAAGTTTAATTTTGGACCCTTTTGACCTCAATGTGGACCAATTTGATAACGGGGCCCAAAAATCAAAATACATGGTCAGATTCAGCATATCAAAGAACCCCATATATTCAATTTTTGCTGAAATCAAACAAAGTTTAATTTTGGACCCCAACTTGGACCAACTTGAAAACTGGGCCCATAATCAAAAATCTAAACACATGTTTAGTTCAGCATATCAAAGAACCCCAAGAATTCAATTTTTGATGAAATAAAACAAAGTTTAATTTTGGACCCTTTTGACCTCAATATGAACCAATTTGATAGCGGGGCCCACAAATAAAAAATCTAAATACATGGTTAGATTCAGCATATCAAAGAACCTCATATATTCAATTTTTGTTGAAATCAAACAAAGTTTAATTTTGGACCCCAATTTGGACCAACTTGAAAACTGGGCCCGAAATCAAAAATCTAAAAAACATGTTTAGATTCAGCATATCAAAGAACCCCATATATTCAATTTTTGTTAAAATCAAACTAAGTTTAATGGACCCTTTGGACCTTAATGTAGACCAATTTAAAAAACGGGACCCAAAATTAAAAATCTAAATACACGGTTAGATTTGGCATATCAAAGAACCCCAATAATTCAATTTTTGATGAAATAAAACAAAGTTTAATTTTGGACCCTTTTGACCTCAATATGAACCAATTTGATAGCGGGGCCCACAAATAAAAAATCTAAATACACTTAGAATCTGCATATCAAAGAACCCCATATATTCAATTTTTGTTGAAATCAAACAAAGTTTAATTTTGGACCGCAATTTGGACCAACTTGAAAACTGGGCCTGAAATCAAAAATCTAAAGACATGTTTAGATTCAGCATATCAAAGAACCCCATATATTCAATTTTTGTTAAAATCAAACTAAGTTTAATTTTGGACCCTTTGGACCTTAATGTAGACCAATTTGAAAACTGGACCCAAAATTATAAATCTAAATACACGGTTAGATTTGGCATATCAAAGAACCCCAATAATTCAATTTTTGATGAAATAAAACAAAGTTTAATTTTGGACCCTTTTGACCTTAATATGAACCAATTTGATAGCGGGGCCCACAAATAAAAAATCTAAATACACTTAGATTCTGCATATCAAAGAACCCCATATATTCAATTTTTGTTGAAATCAAACAAAGTTTAATTTTGGACCGCAATTTGGACCAACTTGAAAACTGGGCCTGAAATCAAAAATCTAAAAACATGTTTAGATTCAGCATATCAAAGAACCCCATATATTCAATTTTTGTTAAAATCAAACTAAGTTTAATTTTGGACCCTTTGGACCTTAATGTAGACCAATTTGAAAACTGGACCCAAAATTAAAAATCTAAATACACGGTTAGATTTGGCATATCAAAGAACCCCAATAATTCAATTTTTGATGAAATAAAACAAAGTTTAATTTTGGACCCTTTTGACCTTAATATGAACCAATTTGATAGCGGGGCCCACAAATAAAAAATCTAAATACACTTAGATTCTGCATATCGAAGAACCCCATATATTCAATTTTTGTTGAAATCAAACAAAGTTTAATTTTGGACCGCAATTTGGACCAACTTGAAAACTGGGCCTGAAATCAAAAATCTAAAAACATGTTTAGATTCAGCATATCAAAGAACCCCATATATTCAATTTTTGTTAAAACCAAACTAAGTTTAATTTTGGACCCTTTGGACCTTAATGTAGACCAATTTGAAAACTGGACCCAAAATTAAAAATCTAAATACACGGTTAGATTTGGCATATCAAAGAACCCCAATAATTCAATTTTTGATGAAATAAAACAAAGTTTAATTTTGGACCCTTTTGACCTTAATATGAACCAATTTGATAGCGGGGCCCACAAATAAAAAATCTAAATACACTTAGATTCTGCATATCAAAGAACCCCATATATTCAATTTTTGTTGAAATCAAACAAAGTTTAATTTTGGACCGCAATTTGGACCAACTTGAAAACTGGGCTTGAAATCAAAAATCTAAAAACATGTTTAGATTCAGCATATCAAAGAACCCCATATATTCAATTTTTGTTAAAATCAAACTAAGTTTAATTTTGGACCCTTTGGACCTTAATGTAGACCAATTTGAAAACTGGACCCAAAATTAAAAATCTAAATACACAGTTAGATTTGGCATATCAAAGAACCCCAATAATTCAATTTTTGATGAAATAAAACAAAGTTTAATTTTGGACCCTTTTGACCTTAATATGAACCAATTTGATAGCGGGGCCCACAAATAAAAAATCTAAATACATGGTTAGATTCTGCATATCAAAGAACCCCATATATTCAATTTTTGTTGAAATCAAACAAAGTTTAATTTTGGACCAACTTGAAAACTGGGCCTGAAATCAAAAATCTAAATACATGTTTAGATTCAGCATATCAAAGAACCCCATATATTCAATTTTTGTTAAAATCAAACTAAGTTTAATTTTGGACCCTTTGGACCTTAATGTTGACCAATTTGAAAACTGGACCCAAAATAAAAAATCTAAATACACGGTCAGATTTGGCATAACAAATAAATAAATGTGGTCAAAGATTTTACAAATCTAATGCGCCATACTGTGCAATTAAAGATTACTTCTTGAAATTTTTCAATATTTGATATTTGAAAAAAAAATAGTATTTACATATTTGTTTTTCATTCATTTTTTTTATATACATTTATAAGGCCATTAGTTTTCTTATTTGAATTGCTTTACATTTGTGATTGCATGGACTTTTATAGCTGACTATGCGGCATGGGCTTGCTGAAGGCCATATGGTGACTTTTAGTTGTTAATTTCTGTGTCATTTTATTCTCTTGTTAAGAGTTGTCTCATTGGCAATCATACCACATGTTCTTTTTTGTAATTTTATTATTTAAATCCAAAGATACCTGATCAATTTCCTTGTTTCTTTGTTTCTTTACTGCAAGGGCAATGTGGTTCTGGATATCTACATTTGATGGCCAAAATCTCTTATTAATGATGGCGGGAATATCCTGTCCTTGGAAAAGTGTTGTCTTCATGTATACTTCTAGTAGTACTCTCATCTGTGGGACACTGGTGATATTTTCTTCCCATACCATTTTCCTGATGTATTCCTTCAATCTGTCATCTATTCCAAGTAGTAAGCTTGCTGACTACAACAACAGATATGTATCGTTTTAATTCAAATTGTAAATTTTAAAATAAGAATAAATTGGTTACTGGAGACACAGTTTTCTCCAATCTTTAGAAAATATCAGTAAGCATAAATTTGTTCAGTTGACCATTATACAGTCATAGAATAAACAGAAAATATTGTTTCAATATTTGGAAGTAAATCACATTGCTTACCCTTGAATGCAAAAATTACAAACAATAACTATTCTGGTAAATATTGAAAGCTAGATATCAAAATATGAATAATTTCAAAACAATAAATTTTCTCTTCATTCAGTCTTGTCTAATTTTTTTCTAATATGCTGTCTAATATTCATTTATCTGGTGTATCTTCAAAGTTCTACTTTTACATTTTAAGTAATACAAGTAAAACTAGTACATTTATTAAATTTACAGTATACAAAAAAAGCATTAATATTTTTTTTTACAAAATCATGGTGAAATTGGCATATGGCCTTAATCATACTGATTTGTACCTCTCCTCTTAGATGGTTTTGGTGTTCAGTTGGGTCTGGAAAAGCTATATAGAATTGATGCTGCATATTGATTTGCTTCTTGTCCAAAACCAACTTCTTTATCTCAACCGAAATCAAATCTTTCTCATATGTCGTACTTATTCCAGTGGTCTAAATGTAAAACGTACAATTATTCATTTATGAAAACCAGAGAAATTAACTTTGCTTTGTAGACATAGTATTACTGTTTTAAATGAAAGCAGGTATAGTTTGAAAAATCTATGTTAGATTACATAAATACCTAAATATATTTAAAACCATATAAATTGAACTTTTTTTTAGCCCTTAATGTTTTTTTTTTTTTTAATAGCCTAAAATATGTTTTAAAAAACCTTAATTACAGTGGATTTCATATTTTCCAAGTCCATAGAATTGAGGTACTGACTACTGTTAAAATCAAATCAACATTTATCTTTTAGAGTACACTAATTTCAGTATGTAAATAGATCACAAATTAAAAAAGCTTGACATTGATATTGTCATGCAGATAAAATGAACTCACCATAACTATAACATATGTCTGTTAGAACTTCTTCATAGGTAAAAAATCAAAGAAACATGCAAATAAAAAGTAATCATTGTTAAACTCAAATAAAAACAAACAAGCAATATGCTGAAAGAAAAAAACAAGTAAATTAAAGAAAAACTAATGGATCAAAATTATCAACATGAATCATGATTGTTTCTCTGCAGGTTTTCAATTCAAGCAATTTAAAGTATATAGCTATCATGATTATAAGACAATCAAATTTGTCAAAATAAATGTGTGTTTCACTTAAAGCTGATCTTTCTTAAAATCAACTGTGAGAAAAAGCATGTCAAGTTATTTAAAGAACAAGAAATATCAACTTTTTAAAGAAACAATTCACATAAAAAAAAAATTCAGTGAAATTGTATAGAGGCAATTAGTGTATTCAATTTACAGGAAGAAGACTTGTGTTTATATACTGTAATTTACATTGTTTGAATTTCTAATGATACAGCTTAGTCCAAGTCTATATATACAAATGAATTGCTGTTAAGAATTGATGAGTATCACAAATCACTGACTTTAATAGAACACTTTAACAAAAATAAACTGATGAAAAAAGAACATTAAACAAGGATATCAACCATATTATACATACCTTGTAGTCAGGAAATCTAACAACATGCCTTATCCTCAATTTAACTCCACAGTTCTTCTTTTTAGTTGGTTGAATTTGTCTCCTCTGTCTACTGAAGTCATGGTCCTCCTGTGATAAATTTGTAACATAACAAGAAATGATTGTAACAGGATGCTGTTACGAAGTCTCCCAAACGAAGCTCCCATAATTCGTAATTCCAAGGGTCGCCTGACATTGGGCAACGTCCAGTGAAAATTGGTTTGGTCCAGTAAAGTTATATGCATTAGTGATGCCTGGGGACTAACCTTGTATATCATTCAAATCATCTTGGCATGACAAACCAGAATATATATGGTTTAGGGGTGGGGATCTCGACCATTTACAAGATACTAGAATATTGGGGGTGGTGAGGAACCCCTGGGGACTGCCCCTATACGTCATTCAAATGTTCATTACATGACGAACAGGAATATATATGGTTTAGGGGTGGGGATCTCAACCATTTACAAGATATAAAAACATTGGGGGTGGGGGGAACCCCTGGGGACTGACCGTATACGTCATTCAAATGTTCGAGACATGACAAATAGGAATATATATGGTTTAGGCAGAGCTCCAGATAAGAATTCACAAATTGGGGTTTTTACCCACCATTTTTTTATGTAATTGGGTGATAAAGTTTTTAAATTGCATTATCAATTCCAATTCACCCCTTAAGCAAATATCAAATTGGGTTTTTCACCACCAAGCTCCTTAATGTATTGGGTTTTTTCATCAACACAATATTGAATGTTTAGGCATGTTATAATCACATTATATCAACCCCATGCAGATGTTTTTCCATCTTAAATGAGTTTCTTTCTTTGTATATATGCTAGCTGTTTTATTTGGTTTATTCACTGACGAGCAATTGTACGTTTAATTTGTGTCCGATTTTAAACGTTCTGCCAGTTTTGTATTTTCTCACAACTTATATAAACTGCAGCTGGTGTCACTAGTTGGACAGTTACTAATTACCTTTCTAGATCCCATATGATCACCCTACAGTTTAGTTGGGGTAGGCGTGGCTAAGTGTTTAGATTTTTATGTAATATATGTGAAATTTAGGTGCTGTAAGAAAGTTTTGCCAGTCCTTTCACCTATTTGCCAGATCTACTTTTTAATAAAAATAATAAGTAGTTCCCAGATTTAAGATATACCCCAAAACCTTGACCAGGTTTATAGGTTTAATGACGGAGACCACATTCAACTTAAATTTACAGAGTTAAATTTACAAATAATTCTGCAACATCAAATAAATAAATGACAATGTTAAACTGCACTTGCCAATAAGACAACTATCATAAGCATACAGAACAATAAGACCAAAACAAAGAAAGTGTCAAGATGCATTGACGTAAAAAACGGATATGTGTATTCACTCATCAACTAAAATGAAAAAAATAATATATAAACTAAAATTATACTTGAATGTTTTTTTTTTAAATTTAATTTACATAAATCTGGGTTAAGTTGTCCCAGCTGATTAGAATTTTTGGTTTCTGATGCTTTCCAACTACATATATCATGTCATAATTGATTTGGCCTTTCACTTTTTCCAACTGATTTCGTTCTTGACAAAACCCCGTGTTTATCGTTCTATCAATGTTCTCGTTAAGGTACGCAAACGGGTCTTGTTATCATCATAATAACTTTCCCTAAAGTATAAAAAAGAAGCTGAAAACATGCTTCTATTCAATATTTTTATCGGATATTTACTTTCGTTTTAATTCATTGTATGTTATGATAAATCCCGAGCAATTCGAAAAAAATATGACAACAAGACAAACGCTAATTGGATAAACGCCGAGAAGATCGAAATGTTTTCATAAACACGTGTACCTTTTGAGCAACGGAAAATTCCAACAGGGACCCATTTCGGCTACTTGATGCAGGGCTCTATTTTTAGAACGAAAGGACATTTCCAATTATAAATATTATAAAAATAGATTTACGCGACGACTGTAATCAGATAAGGGTAAATAACGCAAACGATAGCGAATAAAAGCGTTAAGAACTCATGGTTTTGGCATATTATTGGGTTTTCCTTTGAATGAATTGGGTTTTTGAACCCTGCAATGGGCAATTGCATTGGGTTTTTAATTATTTGTATTGCGTGATCACGCAAATACGCAGCTTATCTGGAGCTCTGGTTTAGGGGTGGGGATCTCAACCATTTACAAGATATTAGAACTTTCTCAAATGGCAGGGGGTCGGGATGACCCCTGGGGACTAACCCTGTATATCATTCAAACCATCTTCGCATGACAAACCAGAATATATATGGTTTAGGGGTGGGGATCTTGACCACTTAGAAGATATAAGAACTTTCTTAAATGGCAGGGGGTGGGAGTGACCCCTGGGGACTAACCCTGTATTTCATTTGATGTGCTTTATCATGACAAACCAGAATATATATGGTTTAGGGGTGGGGATCTTGACCACTTAGAAGATATTAGAACTTTCTTAAATGGCAGGGGGTGGGGATGACCCCTGGGGACTAACCCTGTATTTCATTTGATGTGCTTTAACATGACAAACCAGAATATATATGGTTTAGGGGTGGGGATCTCGACCATTTACAAGGTATTAGAACTTTCTTAAATGGCAGGGGGTCGGGATGACCCCTGGGGACTAACCCTGTATATCATTCAAACCATCTTCGCATGACAAACCAGAATATATATGGTTTAGGGGTGGGGATCTTGACCACTTACAAGATATTAGAACTTTCTCAAATGGCAGGGGGTGGGGGTGACCCCTGGGGACTAACCCTGTATAACATTTGATGTGCTTTATCATGACAAACCAGAATATATATGGTTTAGGGGTGGGGATCTCGACCATTTACAAGATATTAGAACTTTCTCAAATGGCAGGGGGTCGGGATGACCCCTGGGGACTAACCCTGTATATCATTCAAACCATCTTAGCATGACAAACCAGAATATATATGGTTTAGGGGTGGGGATCTTGACCACTTACAAGGTATTAGAACTTTCTTAAATGGCAGGGGGTGGGGATGAACCCTGGGGACTTACCCTGTATTTCATTTAATGGGTTTTATCATTTAGAACATTTTCAATTAAAAAGATTGTGTCTATCACAAACGGTTTTCAATTTATAATCATTTGAAAATTTTAAAAAATAAAATCCCATAGGGTTCTATAGTAAAACCCTCTTTTCTTTTTGCCCCTCAAAGTACCCCTTTATAAACCCCATTGCACAAACAAAACCCTGATTGCACCACTAGACATGTTAGTCTAACATATTGTGAAACCCTAAGTTAATCTGACAAGCGGTTTTGGAGAACGGGTGCGGACAAGTTCAAATTTAAAAGCGGCGGAAGAGGAAGAGGAAGAGGAAGAAGAATAATAATAATAATAAGAACTGAGCAAAAACAATAAGTCTTCCCAAACTTCGTTTGGGAGACTTAATTACAGTTATATATATAATATATATATTTTGTTTTTAATATACATGATTTTAAAAAAACAAATATTATACAGGTCAGGGCACAAACATGGATTTTTCGAGTCATTTAAAAAGTGTCTAATTTAACAGGAACTTTGTATTACTTGCATGCTTTCAAAAATCTTTTTTAGTGAACAAATGAGATAAAATGCTATTAGAATTATAACGTTCTAAAAAGTTTTTTTTTGAAGGGGAAATATATATAAAATGTGGCTTAGTAGTTTTTATTGTATTTGAAACTTGCATAGTTGATTTATGTAAATAAAAAGTGGAGAGTTTTCATCCGAGGAATAATTGTTCACAATATTCTCTAGTGAAAAACAGTTACCCGGCGCAATGAAAGTATGCTTACACAAGTTATTGAAAAGATAAAAAATATAGTTTACATTTCTTTGTTTCTCATTTTTTCTTTTCATCTTTCGGTTCTTGTCTCTATCTAACCCTTGGTGACACTCCAACAACTTCTTTCCAACAACAATAAAGGGTACACCAGTAGATGGTATTATAGGCACTGCATCTGGCTGGGGATCCTTGAACCAGATCTTTTTCATAACAGCAGAAAAATCTGTCAAATACAACAAGTATGCAATATTAATATATCTAAAAGTAATCTTTGTTTTACAGTACAATATTAACATAAGAAATGTGGTATGATTGCCAATGAGACATGTACATATTTTTTAGGCTTATAATACTTTTTATTTGTTCTTGTTTACCTTGTTTATTCAAAATATGTCTATAAAAAATTAAATTGAGAATGGAAATGGGGAATATGTCAAAGAGACAACAACCCGACCAAAGAGCGCCTGTTGAAGGCCACCAATGGGTCTTCAACGCATCGAGAAAATCCCGCACCCGGAGGTAGTCCTCAGCTGGCCCCTAACTAAAATTGTGTACTAGTTCAGTGAAAATGGACGTCACACTAAACTCCAAAACATATAAATGAACTAAAATTAAAAAACATACAAGACTAACAAAAGCCAGAGGCCCCTAACTTGGGACAGGCGCAAAAATGTGGCGGGGTTAAACATGTTTTGTGAGATCTCAACCCTCCCTCTATACCTCTAGCAAATGTAGAATAAAGAAACACATAGCAATACGCACAGTAAACCTCAGTTTAAAAGAAGTCTGAGTCCGATGTCAGAATAGGTAACATAAGAAACTAAGCAAAATGACAATGATACATAAATGAACAAAGGACTACTAGCAGTTAAATACCGACATGCCAGCAATGTATAGTATATACATTGGTGGCCTTGGGTTGTCTTGTACATTTGGGTAGTTTGTTGTCTTTTTCTTCGACACATTCCCCGTTTCCATTCTTTATTATAATGTACAAGTACAAGTAAAAGATGCCAGTTTAAGAGTTCTGAAAGCACTCTAGGGGCGGAGACTACGCCTGTGGCATCTTTGCAACATTCACAATAGTCAGTCCTATATTTTACTCCATTTTTTAACATGGTCATGGTGTAATATTGAGTACACTATACACACTACACTGATAATAAACTAATAAACTGTGTTTAAGGTTTCTAAATTTGAATGCTCCTTGTCTAAGTTTAATTTACAGTTGCGGAGACTGATTTATGGTTTATGGGAAAAGGAGGGGGGGTGATTATACATGTAATATATATGGAATCACTGAAGCATGACTGAAGATTGAAAGGCCCCTCTTTAGGTTCTTATGGCTATGCAGTCAATGCTCCACACCTTCTGGATCTGCCATTGAGTTGGTCATGCAATTGAGCAGAGATTTTCTATACTTAGTTGAGGTAGCTTTTACAATATATTAATAAAGATAATAGATTCTGACTGATATAATTTCAGCTCTGACATGAATTTTTGTTGACAAGTTGTATAATTTTATAAAAACGTATGTGTATATAATATACAAAGCATAGACGGATACAGGGGGGCCTGCCCCCCCCCCCCCCCCCCCCCTTTTGTGGAAAAAAATTGGTTGATTATATAGGGAATCACTGAAGCAGGCCCACCCCCCTTCCCCTTTTAGGTCAGTCAGTGGGCCACCCCTTACAAAAAGTTCTGGATCCGCCACTGCCAAATCCTTCATATATAGGAAATCACTGTCTGCCCAACATTTCAGTATGTCCTTTTATTATGTATTTATGTCTTTTATAAATCTTTTCATATGTTTTATTAATTTGATTCCTGAAACTTATGAGCCATACAAGTTATGTCATATGACCTGTATCATTACCTGTTCCCTCTAATCCAAAATATTTGTCTTTTTTCACAACTCTAAACTTTGAGTTTGTATCAATTTCATATTCTCTTATGGCCAGTTGTATTTCAGAGAACGATTTCAATGAAATTTCTGTCATCTTTTAAGTATTAATTAGTTAACTTGTGTATAATGTTCGCTGATATTCAAAATGGCTTCTTAAATTTCCCGCTTTGAATAACATTAATTCTAATACGAAAATAAAATTCGGTATCATTTCCGGAATCTGAGAAGCCTCCATAGGATATAAGGTCCACCTTACTATGCAGTCACTATCCCGAAAAAAAAACGTATGGATGCAAAACGCTTAGGGGAGCGTCTTTTTACCACAGAACACCACAGAATACCACAGAACACCACAACATACTACAGAACACCAAAAATATACCACAGAACTTCGAAATATAAATACTTCAGACATTATATTATTGTTATTGTAAATTCTTTTTATAATTTGACATTTATTATTCAAATAAATTTAATTTTTCTATTTAGGGTCGACTCACTATCGCTACGCCCCCAACTGAATTGGCCTATTATTGGGTCTATACCAAAAACACCTACCGGTATTAAAACCATAATATACAAAAATATTTAAAGTCACAACAATTGTAATTCTGGGGTATATTTGTGACATTTTACTTTTTTTTAAATACATTTTAATTTTTTCTTGTATTTTTTTTCTTCCATTTTTTAGAATGTTTACCGAGATGCATAACGTAATTATATCTTAAATCTATTTTGGATATACCAGAATTTATCGTTGTAGTTGTCATTTTTGTTTAATTTTATGTTAAGAGTTGTTACAATATGAATAAGTACATGTTTATTATTAAATATTGAATAATATATAAAGCAGTTCTTTAAGGGCTACCAAATACTTTCAAAAAGATATTTGTAGTTGTTGTTGTACAGTTATTTGAGTTGACTAATAAAATATTATAAGTGTGTCTTTATAATAGTCAAAAATTTCAAATTTGATGATTTGGGACTTTTCTTTTGATGTGTGTGTATCTTCTCCAATTTATGTATAGAATTTACGCAGAGCCTTAAATTGTGTAGAGGCATTTTGGTAGTTGTCTCCAGCATTGTCCATGGAAAACGTTCTCTGACAACACTAGCGGCAACTCAGATGGACATCACAAACTAGTACATTAGCTTGGCTTTTGAAACACTGAATATATTCTTGATACACTTGATGCAGTTCAAAACCAAATACTGTCGGCAAGTCAGATGAAACATTGTGTACACATACTTTACTTGAGATGAAATAAAAGTCATTGGATTTTTACGAAATTTTGCATGCATTTAGAAATAGTTGAACTGCATCTAAATAATTAAAAACTGGCACATGTAGCATTACTATATAGATTCTATATTTTGAGTCCAAAATGATGATCTGAGCGAGTTCACCGGCACATTAAAAGTACCAAAATTTAGTGAGAGTATCTAATTTTGACACTCGTCGTAATCACCAATTCATCAAGCCAATTAACATGTCATTTAAGTTTTCACACCTAAGACATCAAATACCTTTAATTTGGGTGTCTTCCTGCTATTCCTACATTTTGAAAATAAATATTCCTTCTATTCCAATCTTTCAAAAACAATTAGACTATTGTGTCGTATGAACAATATGGGTTCTAATCGGTTAAACAGAAAAGTTTTCATATGGGCAAACATTATGAGTAAAGAACACATGTGTATAAAAAATTGGAATTTTCATGTAACGAAAACAAGCTTATATGGGTCATTTTCAAAAAATGTCGAATTTTCAGTACACCCATGCTAATTTTTTTATTTCTAATGGAAATTTCAGTTGTAATTGTTTTAATGAAAGCTTGTAGGATTTATGATTCAGAACATTAATAATAAACACGATTTACATCTATTTTCATAAGATTAAAATGTATTTAAGTCCGATTTTTGGGTAATTTGTGTGCGTACAGTTTCAGAAAAACACATTTCAAATGACTTTTTTCCGATTTTCTGATCGCCTTGATATCTGCAAAAGGGACTTTTTAAGAACGTTAATAATTACTCTAACGAAAAATCGTAGCTTCTTTATCATCATATGTAGCATTTTATCTACAAACTTAATTCAATCCGCGTACATGAAGTTGATGTCCATCCTGTTACCGCTACTTAAATCAGCATTCTCCCTATGAATATTGAATAAGTCAGTGTTGATTTCAAAAGTGCAAAGTAACCTTTACATTTAACACAGCACGTTTCTTGAACGACAGTGTAGAGAAAAGAAATTTCAAGACATTTAGTGAAAAAAATTGAGGGTACTTTTTTTCATGTCTATGCTGTTACCAACAATTTTGATTAATTACACCAAAAGTATACTTGTAAAAAGTGCAATAACGTGTTGGAAACCAAATTCACAACAGAAAAACATTATCACCTCACCAATAGAAAAACATTTATTTATAGAACATCATTTTTTTTTTGTAGAAAAATATTTATTTATAGAAAATCATTTTTTGTTGTTATAAATTGTTTTTAAAAGATTTTTTATAAAATATAGTTTAGTATTTCAAAGGTCTCCAAATATAAAAAAAAATCTACCAAATAACAAAAAAAGTTATGATCATTAAAGAAATGTAAATCTCAACCGGTCAATCGTCCTGTCATTAGTGTAGCCCGAATTATAAAAATAATATAATTCTGAATTATTAGTTTTTCATTTTGTAAAGTAATTCAATGTTCCGTGGTATATTTTAGTAGTTTTATTGTATTTTGTGTAGTTCTGTGGTATATTTTGGGTGTTCTGTGGTATTCTGTGGTGTTCTGTGGTATTCTGTGGTGTTCTGTGGTAAAAAGACGCTCCGAAACGCTTAGTGGTTTCGGCTGACAACTAATAGTATACGTGCACTTTGTCTAAAAAATATCCCGGCAGCGTTAAAGTTGTAGTCAGGATCTTGGAGGGGGGGGGGGGGGGGGTCTTCTTTTTCTGTGTTCTTTATTTTTTTTTTTTTTGCTATATTTCTACAAACTTACACTTTTTGCTCATTACTCTCTTTCCTCATATTTTAGCATTTCATTATTCTTTAATCTTTATTGTTTGCCCGTTATTCTCTATTCTGTAAACCCCCATCCATACCCTGTTATGTGAACTTAAGCTTTCGGTAGTTTATTTTATCCTATTTCTGTCTATGTGAAGTAAATACATTATTTATCACAAAACAAAAACTTACTAAATATTTTTTTATGAAGTCCTCACCAGTTGCGGTACCAAAAAATGTCATAAGGAGGCACTAACTGTCATGCATAAAGAGGGGGCCCGCTTCAGTAATTCTCTAAATAATCAACCAATTTTTTTCCAAAAAAGGGGCGGGCCCCCATGCCCTCACCTTAATCCACCTCTAAACCCTTCCCACTTCGTATCCTTGAATTCAGATTCAAGATCTCTCTGACTAAAGTAAGTAAGTAAGTCACATTTGCTTATATCAGGTTTTTGAATTGAACTGGCGGATAGTTGTTTCATTACCAATCATACCACATCTCCTTATTTATATATATACGAAAGTTTTATTCATATTTTTTGGTGTATTGATGAATGTGTAAAGATGCAGCAATTGTAATACATTTTAAAATACAGCACAAGAGATGCAGATTATATAAAACCAATCTCACTATACAAATCCTTGATAAAACTTATAAGTCGAAGACATACTGACAAACGCCATGGCAAAAACTTAAAAACGACCAAATGACGTACAACAGTCTATAAAACTTGACTATAGCATTTAAAACACATAAGAAGCACCCAAACAGTCAAACAGAAATTAAAAGAATAAATAATTTGTAAAGATTTTCAACTAGGCCTACAGCTATATTTTCTTATCGTGTAACAGTAGGCTAAACATAGGTTCTGGTATTATGTGATAAGTCATTTTTTCATGCAGACCCAGTTTTATTGATACCTTGAACTTAAAGTGGTTTTATGCATATCAGCCCAGATTATGTGTGTAATTTTATTGAACAATTCAACAATACACGTTCTAAACAGGTTAAATTCAATTTAAAAATTTACAAATTCAGATCTACTGGCATTCAACATCCAATTACTTACTTGCTGTATATTGCTAACTTTGATTGTATATTGTCAATCCCTCCACATCGTGAATACGTCATGCGAGGTGTTGGATAAGTTTGATACAGGGTGGCGGCTTCGAAGCGTAGAAAAAAATCCAGGTAAATGAAACTGTAAAATTTTGTTGTTGAAGATTTTAAGTACTAAATTCCTAAATTTGTACTTAACTCCGTTCTACGGGTAACATGGTTGTTTGATATGAAAATAGGATAAAAAGCATCCGGAAAAATTAATTATCACGTTATAACAGAGACATATATACACAGTACAGTAAAATGCTCTGCTGAACTGTAGAATTTTAATGTTCTGTTTCATAGACCACAGAAGTACTGCAACATCCTTATCTTTACTCTTTCCTATCGGGTAGTGAAACTCGAGTTTGAAATTAGAAAGATTTAAAATTGAAGACAGTTTTATCTGATCTTTTGTGGGTTTATGTTTCGGTGCAGTGCTATGTGGGCTGTTATTTTCTTTTCATTTGTCATTTTTTTTATCTGTGTTACATGACCTTGTACTTTTTGTATTGCCCCTTGACATCTCTTGCTTCTGTTTAAACCTTTACCACTAATATCTCATCTGGTTTAAGTAAAATAGTGTCTCATTCCCGGAATTTGTTATACAGGAATTCATTTTAATATCAGTTTTTTTATAAGCATATAAACTGCTTGGTCTCTTCACACAATTTATGTTTAGGACGGAATGCATCAATAGGTACATACATGTACCAGGTCACCAATATATAAGTACACGTTATGTGCTTTTGACCTCCACAAGAATTCTTAAACATTCATAGATGTGCAAAGAATATTTTTGTCGTTGGGTTGTTGTCTCATTGACATATACCTCACATTTCTGAATAGTCATAGCAGCTGTGCCTTTTCAATTTATTGCAGAAAATATTTGCATTAACATTTCTCAAAATAGGCGAGGTGAAACAGTGATCACAGAATGAGGACATGTAAAACTGAAACAACGCAACACAACAGATAAATATAAACAAGCA